CCCCCCCCCCCCGCACACTTGGCCAATTGAAATGCAAAAGAGACACAAGGGCCATTCAAGGAAGAAAGGGTAGTCTTTTCAACAAATAACACTGGAACAAAAAGAAAAAGAATCTTGATCTATATATCACACCTCATGTAGAAAAGTAACTTGAAATGAATCACAGACTTAAAATTATAAAACGTTTAGTTTCTGAAATTTTATTAAGAATTAGAGGGGCACCTGGGTGGCTCAGTCGGTTAAGCATCTGCCTTCAGCTCAGGTCATGATCTCCGGGTCCCGGGATCGAGCCCCGCGATGAGTTTTCTGCTCAGTAGGGAGTTTGCTTTTCTTTCTATCTTTTTTTCTTTTCTTTGTTTTTTGGGGGAGTTTGCTTTTCTATTTCTCTCTCCTTCTGCCCCTCCCCACCGCTCGTGCTCTCTTTCAAATAAATTAAAATCTTTTTATTTTTTATTTATTTATTTTTAAAAAGATTTTATTTATTTGACAGAGAGACACAGGGAGAGAGGGAACACAATCAGGGGTAGTACGAGAGGGAGAAGCAGGCTTCCCGCCAAGCAGGGAGCCCAATGCAGGGCTCGATCCCAGGACCCCATGAACTGAGCCGAAGGCAGACGCTTAACAACTGAGCCACCCAGGCACCCTAAGCTGACTGTATTTATAGAATGCTCTGGAGAAAGCGAAACTCTAGGGAGAGCTAAGAGGAGGCTACTTGATGCCTTGGTAGGGCATGACTCTGAAAGTAACAAGAATTATACAAAATGATGAATAAAAAAAAAGACAATCCCAAAGAAAACCTGGCAAAGACTTCAACAGACAGGACCTCCAGATGGCAAGGAAATACATAAAAGCTGCTCAACGTCATCAGGCAGGGGGGAGATGGCAACAAAAGCCATGTGGAGATTTGGGGGGTGATGCAAGTTACTCCAATAAAAAACGGACGAAAGGTGTAAATAGACGTCTCAGGTCTGGGAAGATAGAAGCTTAGCAAATAAGCTGCTCCATCGCCTGACTGTGCTCACTACACAGGCACGTTAATGCATCAGAACTTACTGCTAAAATGAGTGCTGACTGTAAATCATACCTCAATACAACGGACTGAAAAATAAAGGAAAAAAACATAAGGAGATCGCGCGACTCTCCTTCCAGAGCGGCTAAAACAGGCCAGGCCGGGGAGCGGATGCGGGGCGGGCTCACATTGGCATGACTGCGGGGGACAGCTGGCCCTTCCGCTCCTGAGCACGGGCACTAAGGACACGCGTGACCATGACTGGGCAGTGTTTCTGGCAACGGTCCCAAACCGGAAACCCAAGCGTCCCTCAGTGATGGAATGCGATAAAGTCAAGACTGGCAAATCTGGATGCTGGAAGACCAGAGAGCATCTCGAAAGATCGAGCCACTACTACCCGCGGCAAGGACAGAGAGGAACAGACCAGACAGAAAAGAACACCCTGCTGCTAGAAGGTTCAAAACCAGGCAGAACGACTCAAGGTGAAACAAGTCAGGATGGGGGTCCCTGGGTGGCGGGGGAGGGAAGGCCTGGGAGGGGACTTGAGGGGTCTCCTGGGGTCCTGGTTCTATTTAGCAACCTCAAAGGTGTTACAGAGGTTTATTTGGGGAAAACCTGTTGAGCTATACACTTAGGATTTGGGTGCTTGTCTCTATGTATAATTCAATAAAATATTTACTTTAAAAAAGGGATCTAGGGTGCTCCAGATGGCGGCCGGGGCAGAGGTGTGCTTTCAGGGGCAGGAGTCCTGACCAGTGTCAGTGCCGAGCGGGAAGGACGAGGTGTGGGAGGGAGGCCTGTGCCATGACCAGGGCGGGGGCAGGAGGGCCGGGGGTGGGCGCTGGGTGAAGGGCATGAAACAAAGGCGCCCTGGGGCCTTCGCCCTACCCCGCCTGCCCTGCTCCGAGAACACCCAACTCCAGGGGGCCTCGGACGGAGAGCCAGTGCGGGCTGGTCACAGAGCACCGGGAAGCCCAGGGAGGCGCCAAACCAGGCCTTCTGACTCACAAGAGTGGCTCCAGGTCAGCTGGTGTCAGCCCCCCCGGTCCCCAGGCCCTCAGCAGCCCTCTCACGTCCTTGTCAGCCAGCCTGGAGCCTCCAAGTGTCTGGGGCGCCCTGCGCCCAGCTACCCCGCCCCGCCCCTACCCTGGTGCTGGCAACGCCCACTACCTGCTTGGAGTAGATCTTGAGGAGCTTGTTGACCGGTGTGCCCTCGTTGTCCCCATCGAACTCGAGCCACAGGACAGACTCCTCCTCCTCGGGGGAGGTGTGGTCCCACGACAGCTCCTGGAAGCGCAGGCCCAGCAGAACGTGCTGCCCAGAGGGAGACGCAGAGCTTGGATTCGGCTGAGTGGAGTCCATTCCTCTACCCTGTCCCGCTCAGGTGCCACCAGGAGGGGACACCTGGCCAGGCTATTTACCTCTAAGGCTGAGTCTAAATTCCCGTCTGAGTCTCTCCGAGGCGTCCCTGCTTTCATCAGACCCTCACAGGGGGCTGTGGTCTGGGGAGGTGACAACTCCTAACCCGCGGCACTTCTCACAGGCGGGCCAAGCCCCTGACAGCTGGGGCAGTCACGTGGGGGGCGAGCGACAGGTGGGAGGGGCCACCTTCTCCAGGAGATCAGCTGGGTAGCATCTCAGCAGGAGGCTGAGCTGGGCTCTGGGCCCAGCATGTTTGGGCTGAGGTCCCACTCTGGGGACAAGCAGCAGTCACCTAACACTTTGCTGCTGGTTTAGGAGAGACTCCTGCCCAAGTGCAAATCACCCCACAGGGCGGGATGCGGATGCGACCTTCGACATAGGGAACCAAAAGAGAGCCTGCGCCAAACATGGGGCGGTGGGTGGGGGGCGGGGAGGAGCAGGACTCAGGCAACCAAGGAGGGCTTCTAGTCGCGAGGCTTTTCTGGAAAACCAACAGCGAGTCTCTGGCCATTGGTCCAACAGAGCGGCCAGGCCGTGCCAGATCCCCTCCACTCAGAGGGTTAATCCCAGCTGCAGCCTCCCCCTGCTCCAGCCACCCTCCTGCTTCAGCCCGCTAGGCAGACGAGCTGATCTAGGGCAGACCTCAGGGAAGCTCCCGGATGACACTGGAAGCCCCAGGGACATCGGAGGGAGGGAGGCCAGACGAGCCATCAAGTCTGCCTCCAGGCCAACCACGGGCCCAGGAGAACCAGAAGGCCTGGGTAAGGGCCCTACTCCCTCTCCAGTGAGGCCCCCTGCCCCACCCCGCCCCCCAGGTCCCACCCTGGAGGAGCTGCAAGTACCTTCTCCCTGCTGTCAATGACGTGCACGCCCTCCAGACTGATGGCCACAGCCACTGGCTTCCGCCCGCCCCGGTGCAAAAAGCCCTGGGCTGGCTTGTCAACCTCGCCATGGAAGAAGGCGCACCTGGGGAGGGGAACTGCCGTTAGCCTGTCACCTCAGGCACCAAGGACAGACGGTCCAGGGTCTGGGCTCCCGTCACCACAGTGCTCTGGTCAGGCCCTGTCCCGGGCACATGAGAAGTTTAAGCTCTTCCGGCGACTGAGGGGTGAACGAAAACTGAGGGGAGTGGGAGGGAGGCTTCCTGGAGGTGGTGGCAGCTGCGCTGGTCACGCAGGACAGGAAGGTTTGAACAGGCAGGGGGAGGAACTGAGGGGCACAGAGAAGGGTGGGCACTGCAGACGGAGAGAAGAGCGTGAGCCTGGGTGTGGGACAGCAAGTTATGTTCGGGGAACGGCCAGGAGCCCCAGGACCCGGGCTGAGGCTGTGGGAGGCAGCCAGGCTACGTCAGGGTGGGAGAGCCCCGCGGCCCACTGCCTGTCAGGCCACGACCCTTTGGGAGCACTGGGGTCCAGCTGCCCCTGTGTGGGGGGCCCATGAGAGAGCAGCCCAGGAGGCTTAGGGCTCGACACCGGGAAGGAGACGGGACAGGGTGCCGTGGCCCTGATACGCCATCTCACTGAGCTGCCACCCTCTCACGGCCCCGTCGCGTCCTCCCCCCTCCTATGGCTGCCTGGCCCGTCGCCCCCTGCCCCAGGCTCAGCCAGAGCCCTTGCCGAATCCCACTCTGTGACTGCCTGTACCCTCGCACTGGGGCGGGCCTGGGGGCAAGCATGTGCTACCTCCGATTCCTGCGAGCAGCCTCACTCCTGTCGCTGCTCCTGCAAGACCTCCACAAGGTCAGCGAATGGCTGGGACTCCTACTTCACTGAGTCCCTGAAGCGACCCGGGGCAGCCACTTGCCTGCCCTCACCTACCCCACTTTGTCGCCGATCGTCTGTCTGCACACATGCATTTCGCCCATCATAAAAATTAAAGACCTTCTGCCCCCACTCCAGCCCCAAATGCTGCATCTCTTGACTCCATTTCATGGCACTGACCCCCGAAGGAGTTGGTCACACTCGCTGTCTCCGGTCTTTTCTCACTCTCCTCCACCCATTGCCCCCCCAGTGATGCTGGAGCCAAGGTCAACTATTGGCCACACAGGGGATGCTGAACTTGACCTGGAAGCAGCAGCATGGGACGCCTGGTCACTCCCTCCTGCAGGACACTTCCCTTTGCCTGGCTTGTAGAGACTCACCTGCCTGCCTCGCTGGCCCGGGTCCTCCTTGTGCCTGGTCCACACTCATCTCCTTGGCCACGTCTTGGGGCTCCAGGTTTCAAACCACCCAAATGCTGATGCCCACCAATCATGACCCAACTCTAGACTCAGAAACCTGAATGTCCACTCGGAATCGCCAGCTGGGTATCTAGCAAGCATCTCAAGATCAACACATCCAAAACCAAACCCCCAACCTTCCCCAACCCGCTCCATGGCCCGGGCCCATCTCAGCTGATGACAACGCCATCCTCCAGTTGCTCGGACCAGACGCCTGGAGTCCCTTCTCCTCTCCTTCATCCGTTCCACCGCACATCCGTCTCGCAAATTCTGTTGACTGTACCCTCGACATCTCTGGCGTTATCACCGCCTGGCCTGAGCCGTATCTCCCCTGCCGAGTACTGTCACGCTGTCCCCACTGGTCGCCCGGCTGCCGCCCCTGCCTGCACTCTGTTCCTACCTCTGCCGCTGTCTCCCTTCCCACCAGAATGTCAACCTCACCAGGCACGGGCCGGGCCCCTCTGCTCCCGAGGTATTGGCAGTGCCTAGAATGCCATGGTAGGTACACGGGAGCCACCGAGCCGATGCGGACAGCGTGAGAGAGAGAACTGACTCAATGGAAGGTCAGCAGGTCCACCGACCCAGTGACCGTGGCGGGTGGAAGCACAGGACCCGTCTGGTGGCCTGGCCTGTGACGGGAGCGAGGGAAGGACAGGCGTCCAGCTTGGTACCCGTGGGGCCCGAGGTGCTGGCATGAAGACACACCTCACGTGAGGACAGAGCTTGGCTGGCACAGAGATGGGCACCCTGGCAGGCCGTGCTGGCAAAGGCCAAGACAGACCGCTGGGCTGCCGGGGGAAGGGGACCGCAGAGCCCCCAGGGCTGCGGCTGCCCATGAGGACGCCAGCCAGGGAGTTGCTCACCCGTAAAAGGGCAGCTCGTGGCTCTTGAGGAGGTAGGCGCGGTAGTGGGGGCTCAGGGAGGCCCCGTGCTCACTGTCGCTGCCGACCGCTTCCTTCACTTGGCCGTAGGCATTCAGCAGGCCCTGCTCGCCTGTCCCCGCCTTGGCCCCTCGGCCCCGGAGGGCAGCAAAGAGCCCGTGGCCCCGCTTGCAGAGGTGGGCGGGGAGGAAGGAGTCCAGCTTCTCCCTGCGGAGGAAGGAAGATGGGTGCCCGGCATGAGGAGGGGCTCCGGCGCTGGGGGCCAGGCCAGAGAGGCCGAGGGCTTCAGGGGGTGGCACGCTCCCGGGCAAGGGCAGGCGAGGCCCCGGACCAGGACCGTGGGCCCAGCAGCACGCCTGGTGGGCGAGGGGCCCGGAAGGCAGGCCGGGAGACCAACAGGGGAGCTGCAGCCAGGCCCAGCTCCCGGCCAGCCCGTGGCCGGAGGGTTTCAGCGCCGCGCCTGTGTCACTGACTTGGGAAGGTTTGGATTTCCGAGCTAGTGGAACTTCTGACAACGAAAAGAGGGTGCAGCAAGTGACCTATACCTCTCCACATATTTTCTGCCAAAGAGGGATATATTAAAACAAAAACAAAACCCCCCACCGACCCACAATCCGTCAGCACAGGTTCGAGAAGGAAAGGTTTCCAATCACGCAACCGGGAAGCAGGCAGCCGGGGTACCGCGCTGCTCCCGGGCCGAGCGCAGCTGGGGCTCTGTCTCGGAGCGGCGAGCACCTGCTCAGAGGTCCCCGCGGATAAAACAAGGACGCTAGCCGCTACTTGCGTGGAAGGGCGACGGCACGGGCCTGGCACCAACTGTCACCGAGGATGCCATTCTCACCTCAGAGGGGAGGGGCTTCTGCTGCCCGAACGCCCCAGGCCACCGGCAAAGGCGGCCCGGCCAGCAGCAGGGCTGAGGCGGGGACAGAGCCCGTGCTGGCCCAAGGCCCAACCGCGGGGCGGTGTGCGGCGGGGTGTCTAGGGGGCTGTCACCCTTCTCGGGGCTGCCGTGGGCACTTTCGTGGCTTGTGCCCCCACATGCCTTTTTCCAGCCACAACTGTCACTTGTCATCTGGAAATCCAGCCTTCCCCACCCCCATCCATGGGGGCTGTACGGGCTCAGGGCCTGCCTCTCAGCGCCCTGGCCACGGTGTCCCCTTCGGGTGGACCTGAGGCTCCAGCCAGGGGAGGGGGACGTCGGTGTGAGTCTGAGGACTCTGGTACGTAAGGGGAGAGCCCTCTCCCTGCCAATACGCAGCTGCTATGGCTACCCGGCCTGCCTGAGTGTGAGCCGGCTCAGAGGACGTGGGGCCGGGCCAGAAGAACGAGGACTGTCCGTTGCTCAGGCTGACAGAGTCCCTCGAGCATTAAGCACTTTGGGCTGCGTTTGTTATCAGCTGCAACAGCAACAGACATGCCCCAGGGCTGGGCCTCCTATGGCCACCAGCCCAGCCGGGGAGCCCTGAGGCCCAACTGAGCGGGGTGGTCCGTGCGGGGCCCCGGCTGCTAGTCACCCGGCACAGGGCCCTGTCTCTGCGCATCGTCTCCTCCAACACACTGTCCCCTGCAGTGCTGGGGTGGGGCGTGGGGTCTAGGAGCAGGCTGTGCTGAAGTTCATCTCCACCATGGTTATCTCTGAACCTCAGGATCACGGTTCATGGAGGTACGAGGACGGCCTGGTCTGCTTCCAGGGCCGACCGAACTGACACAGCGAGGAGTGGGGCCTCTTGGGGGGGGCGGGTGGGCAGCACAGAGCCAGGGTGCTGGGGTGTCTGAGGAATGGGGCCTCGTCCCTGGAGTTTGGGACAAAGCTGGGCTGTCACTGGTGATGGGGGGTCAGTATGTGGTCAGTCCCGGGCTGCGACCCCAGAGGAACAAGAAGAACAAGCTCAAGCCCCTCCTGACCTCAGGTGGGGGCTGGGCTCCACCCTCACACACACCTGGGGCTCCTCTCCCACATGTCACTTCACCCAAATCTCCCAATTCTCAGGCCCCTCAGCCCAGTGCAGATGAGGGCAAGGAGGTTCAGAGAGGTGGGGTGACTTGCCCAAGGTCACACAGCATCAGGGCCAGCCCTAGGGCCAAGGCCTCCTGACTCCCGATCTTGGAAGATCACCTGGAAGTAGGATTCCAGGGCAGCCCTCCCCACCCTAGGCCCCTGCCCCGGGTCACACTGGCCCTCACCTCAGGGTGCAGGCAGTGGGCTGGCCCGGCTGGTAGGGCCCGAGCTGCACGCGGCACACCAGGGCGCCCAGGGCCTCACAGTCCTCCACGTCACACGGGTACCGAGCGGCCAGCACGTTGCCTTTGGCCTCCTCGTAGAGCAGCCGCAGGACCTCCTCATCGTGGATCTGTGGGCCGGTGTGGTAGGGAGGGGCTGCTCAGCTGGGTCGGCGCACTGGTGACCAGGGGTCTAGGGACACAGGGCACCAGCGATGGGTGGTCCCACCCGGGGCTCACGGCCTCACCTGGAGCTCCCGCCGCTTTGGGAAAAACACGTTCCTTCGGAACTGCAGGGAAGGCTCATCTGGGGAGAGAGGCTGGGGTCACTGCCTGGCCCCCCTGCCCGGCCCAGCCTGGCCCTCACCCCCCACGACTGACAGAACCTGAGGGCTGTCCAGAGAGTGGGACACCTGGCTCATCTCGACGTGCTTGCTGTCCCCCTCTTCCCCCCCGGCCACCCTCTCCCGGCTTCCCCTCAAGGAACCTGTAAAAGCTGGTAACTGAGGCCCAGGGGCCGGAGGGGCTGCCCTCCCCCCGCCAGGCAGTAGCACTAACCCATGGCCACGTGGTCAGCGGGGGCGTCCGTGAAGCGCAGCAGCAGTTCGGGCCACTGGCGGCCCAGCTTGTAGGGCTGGTGCTTGGGCTTCAGCTGCACCTCTGCAGGACGAGAGGGCAAGCAGCCTGTGTCTGTGGCCTCTGAGCAGTACGACTGCCACCCGCTGACATGGCAACAGGGATGGCAGTCGTGGCCGAGAGTTTTTTCTTTTTAAGATTTATTTATCTATTATTTGAGAGAGAGAGAGAGAGGGAGGGAGAGAGCGCGTGCGTGCGCACATGCAGGGGGTGAGGGGAGGGACAGAGAGAGAATCTCAAGCAGATCCCCCGCTGAGTGCGGAGCCCAATGAGGGGCTTGATCTCACGACCCTGAGGTCACGACCTGAGCCGACACCAAGAGTGGGTCGCTAACCGACTGAGCCCCGCCGGGCGCCCTAGTCACGGCCAGTATTAACTGAGCAGGTATAAGGTTTCAGAAGCACTTCCAGTGGATTACATGCATCTGCCCCGTGACAACAGTATCACGCATGTGGAGAAACGAGGCTCAGAGGGGTTAAGTTACTTGTCCAAAGTCACACAAGTGAGAGAGGGTCAGACCCCAGGCAGCACCAGCCTCTGACTATGGCACCGAGGGTGGGCTGGAGCGCAGGCTGTGGCTGACAGAAAGTGCCAGGGATGGTGGTACAGACGAACCTCACAGGGCCTCAGTAAGCAGAATCCAAAGCCGGTAACTGAGGCCCAGAGGCCCGAGGGGCTGCCCTCCCCTGTCCCTAACCCAGCCTGGGCCTCCCCCTCACCAGGCCCGACCTCCGGCTGACCTTCATTCCATGCCATCCAGCTCCCCCACCTCATTTCCTTCTCGTTTCCCTCTCCCACTCTGCTCCTGCCATACCGGCCTTCGCCTTCGATTGCTTGAACCTTCCCAGCCTGTCAGTGCCTCGGGGCCTTTGCACTTGCTGTTCCTCCTGCCTCAGGCACTCGCCCTCCCCAGACCCTCACACGGCTGGCTGGCTTGGGTCTTGGTTCTAGTGTCCCCTTCCCCAGACCCCTCACTGAGGCAGCGCCCCCATCATCTTCTGCCTCGCCAACTGCACCCTCATTTGGTTGCCTTTACAGGATTTACCACCATCTGATGTCACCTCCCTGTTGATGCCCCACTAGCCAGTGAGTCCTCAGGTCACTCTGGCAAGAGTGGCTTTGTCCCATCCACTGCTGTACCCCTGGCCCACCAGAGGCCCTCACAGAGGTGGGCAGAATGGCCAAGTGCACCACTCAAGCCCGGCCCCTTGACTCTGGGCAGCCAGCTGGTCCCGGGACTCAACACCCTGGGCCAGTAATGAGAAACTGCTTTCACCTCATGTGCCGGTGACCATGGCCTTTGAGAAGTCAGAGGCCATTTCCAAGCCATCAGTGATGAATGAGTATGGCCGCCGGGGATAAAAGAGCAAGGAATGGTAACATCTATGCCATCAACTGACTTCCCCTGCCCTCTGACCTCGCTTCTGAGCCCTAGCTCCCTCCTTGACCCCCCACCAGAGGGCCCAGTGCCGTCTTCTGCCAGCTTAAAGTCAAAGGTCCTCATCTCTGTTCTTTGGGCTTCCATCTGGCCCCTGATGCTAACCAAAACAGTAGCCACAGCCCCCAAACTGGCCTCCCTCCTGCCTGCAGCCTCTCCCATCCACCCCTGTCTTTGGCTTCCTCACAGCCCTTCTCCTCCAACGTTTCTCAGATTTAGATTTCCCAGCAGCTCCTCAGCCCTCATTTCTAACCTAGATCCTTGACCACACCATCCGTCGCCACCCCTGCCTCACCACTCCCTAGGAAGGGGACTGGCCACGCACCCCCAACGATAGTGTCCTCTCCCCTCCAGGAGAGGCTCCCTTGGCAACCCCACCAGCCCGGCCACTCAGCGGGGCCTCCGTGGGCTCTCTGCCTGGACACTCCTAGGATGCCAGAGCCGGAGGGCACAGAGACCACCCACAGAACAGGTGGAAAACGGAAGCCCAAAGCGGGACAGTGCCTGCCCAAGGCCGCCAAGAGTTAGTGGCTAAACCAGGATCCGAGCTCCTGTACTGCACTTTAGACAGCGAGGTCCCTGAGGGCAGGGACTTTCAGTGCTGCTTCCCACTGTGTCCCCAGCGCTTAGATCACCGGCCAGCAAGGGGGTGCTGGAGGTGGCTCTACCTGACGAGCTGGGACCCCTGGAGACACTGAGGAGAGTGGACCCGGGACAACGGCGCCCTTCCTTCTGCCTACAGCCCAATCGTGACCCCGAGCCCCAGCAGCTCCGAGGACTCCCACGATCACAGCAGGACCCTGACCCTGTGGTCCCACACACTTTCGGGTGCGGCCTTCCCCTGGAGGTTTTCACCCAATGAGACTGGTGGCCCCTGGAGCCTGCTCCACGCAGAGTGACAAGGGCACTGAGGACAAACACTCCCCAAACAGCCAGCTTGTAAGGCGGCTCCAGCAGGCAGCACCCCGCCCCTGCCTGATAGCCCGGGGGCATCTGTCACTGCTTAACCCACTCTGGGTCGGGGGCAGCGAAGGGTTCCGAGGGACCCGAGTCAGAGCTGAAATGGCCTCTCAGGCTTCCTGAAACCCAGCCTGGGAACCAAGTGGGCGCTGACTTCATGCTGGGGCCTCCAGCCACCCTTGTCCTGGACAGGGCGGTGGCCCAGGGTGACCCTGCCAGACACACAGGCAGCCCATTCATGTTTTTGCGAGGGGGGAGCAGGAATGTGATGAGAAGGGAGTGGGGGCGGAGGAAGCAGGAGGAGGAGACAAGGGGCCCAGCTGCAGGGACAGGGAGCCTGAGGCGGCACCGGGAACAGCCACCCCCCGCTTCCCAAAGATACAAACCAAGGGGCCCACAGTTCCGACCAATACCCGGAGGGTGATAAAGGGGCAGCTGAGCTGGGTGGGGAATGGGTGGAGGAGACGTGTCAGCAGGAAGAGGGTGGGCGAGAGCAGCAGCTGTACAGGAAGCTTCCATGGCGGGGGGG